GGGGGGGCACCATAACCGGGGGGGGGGGGGGGCCCTGGATCCGCCACTGCTGCCAGCCAACCTATGAAACATTGTTTATTTCTATATCACATGTATAGCTACACTTTTTTTTCATAGAGAAACAGTTGCCATATATCTGGGAGAACCAATCTATCCAGCATGACACTAAATTGGGGGAATCATCTTTATTATAAAATAATAATAATGTTACAGAAACAGAACAGAATGTTACAGAAACATTTTATATCGCTATCCCCTCCTTAAAATCTTACTGTTTGCCTAGAGAAACATGAGATGTTAAATGTGACAAAGCATCACAGTCCTGATCATTGCAGCAGCTAACCTGTATTTTGTAAAGTAGGCGGTTAGATTAAAAAGTAACAGGCATTTTCCCAATCTGCACTCACATTTGCATAAATGAATAGACTAGTTTGTGCAGACAGGTTTAAATGAACAAAATACCAAGATGATGCAATTAGTTTACTGCTGTGCAAGAAGAAAATACAATCATTTATATAATAACTATAATTTGCGATAGGCTATCAGAGCCAAGTCCCAAATCAAATATTTGCAAGAGAAATTCAACACCAGTTAGGCATCTGAAATAGCAAAATACATACAGTACAGGTGAAACTCGAATAATTAGAATATCGTGCAAAAGTAATTGCAGTGATTGCTGCAAAAGGGGCCCAAACCAAGTACTGAGTACACATGCATGCTTGTACTTTTCAGAGGTCCGATATTGTTCTATGTACAATCCTTGTTTTATTGATTGCATGTAATATTCTACTTTTTTGAGATTGTGGATTTGGGGTTCTTGGGGTTTTCATGAGCTGTAAGCCATAATCATCACAATTATGACAAATCACGGCTTGAATTATCTTGCTTTGCATGTAATGAGTCTATCTCATATATTAGTTTCACCTTTTAAGTTGCATTAGTGAAATAAATGAACTTTGCACGATATTCTAATTATTCGAGTTTCACCTGTATATTTGATGGACCCATACCTTCAATAGCAAATGGTTTACCCACAGTCAATAATTTGCACTCAGCATCAATAGAGACCTCATAATCCAACAGTGCTTTATCCATTATGAAAGCATCCAATGTTTCAGGGTCATTTCTGAAAATATATAAACACATATATTAAGAAAATCACATCTGTGCTGACAACCAAGTTGAATGGAATACGAAACTGGACAGTCACTGAGGATGCTAGTTGGGCAGTGAAGGCAGGCGCTTTTTAACATGCTTCTTCACTTTACATGTTAGAACAGGTCAAGACTTACAGGAAATCAATAAAGGGTGTGTCATAAATTTGCCAGGATGTGATGCTGTACCCTGTTCCTTTCTGTGTATACCCAATACTCTCTCTTAATGGGCATGTATCCCTTTCTGGTAGTTTCCTACCACATGTTCTATTTGTTTCTGATCTGTTTTCCCAAACCCTTTAACTTTGGCCTGTATATTGAAGCTACTTCATTGTCATTCTCATCTTGCTGCAATGCAATCTTGTACTATTTTTGTATACTGATAATGACTACAGTATGTACCCTGCTCTAGATATTTATTTATTTAACACATACTTGACCTTCCAACTACTGTACTTGTTGACTATCTGTTGTGTACAGTGGAGCAAGCCTTAAGTGTTTGAGTGTCATGTTGCCAGGTCAATCTGTTTTTGCATGAGACTAAAGCAAATTACAGGCACTCCCTCAACCATTTGTAACATAGAGCACTTAAACCAACCCGTCTTGTTTTAGAGACCCCCGCTTCATGCCACTTTCTGACTCTCAGATTTAACCTCCATGCCACTTCCTGTCCCAATACTGGAATTGTGGCAGACATTTCTACAGTACTGGGCACCACACAGCTTTGCTTCTAAAAATGTCCTCGCTGGGTCATCCTTATCCTAGAAATGCTTTCTGTGGCCTATCTTATTCCTATGGGAAGAGTGTAATTTTTTTGTAGACTAGCTAGTAAGTGTGGCCGGAAAATTTGGGGGGTTATTCACAAAGGAGCCGAAGGATTAAGCCAAAGCATCGGCTAATCCTTCAGCTCACTTCAGCCGCCGAAGAGCCCTTTGGTTCAGCCGAACAGAAGGGCTGCTGTACAGGCTATTCACAATGTGCTTTGTCTCGGCTGAACCGAAGTCGCAGCCGAATCGGGGACACGGTCTGCCGAAGTAAACCGTTCTCCCCGCAGTTGTTGTCATTCAATGACAGCCCAGAGTCCTCAGGTTATTTGAGAACACTGGGCTGTCACTGAATGACAAGAACTGGATGGAGCCAGTAAGGACAGCATGGCTGGCTCCGCCCATTTGTTTCGATTCGGCAGGGACCTGCGGGAACTCTGATAGGTGCAGGACAAATGTAAACAGTTAGGCGGAGCTAGCGGTGATGTCACCGCTAGCCCTGCCCAATTGTTTATATTTTGCCGGCATCTGGGGGGGCGATAATGAAAGACTTGCCCCTGGGCACCTCGTGACCTTGCTACGTCACTGCAGTGCAGTAACAGACTGGGGCAGGTCCAGAGTGACCTGGGCTCAGATCAAGTGGGTTCAACAATGGTGGTAATGGTGACCCTCAGATTCAGGACATCTAGTGTAAAAATGTACTGCGGGGGACATCACTGAACTGAAAGTGAATATTGCAGAAAAGACTGCCTTTATATTTAATGAGCTTTTCCTTTATCTTATTTTTTTGGCAGGAGACACATTCACATCAGACATATGACAACATAAATAACTAAAGATCAAGACTGTAATATATTACAGCTTACCAGACCTTAGATGTAGTTGCTGCATTTGTTTTCTTTTTTCAGACTAACATTTTCAGCAAGTACAAAAAATATGTTTATCTTGCCAGAAATGCAGTCTCCGTGTGGGATGAACTCAGATAAAAATCAATATCATCTTCCTTCTGTACTAATCTGTGTATCTCCCATGTAATAGAGGTAAACCAATGCAGACATGTTTAAAGTCCGGCCTGGGTGACAACCTTGGCTCCCTCCAGAGACACAGGAGGAGTGAGTGTAGCCACAAAGGGACAGAAGGTGAAAATAAAGGAAGAAATCCTGAAAAAGAAAGAAAACAAATGCAGCCACCACATCTAAGAACTGGAGGCTGCAATATACAGTATTATATCTTTGGTTTTGGGTTTAGTTGTCTAGTTGCATGGCAAGATCATCAACCATTTAGCCACTGTGCTATACCCTAACAACAAGGGTCATTTATAAAACTAGCACGACTCTGAAATGCATTTTTTCCGACATCACTAAATTTATAAAAACACAATTATACTGTTTGCACAAAATTAAATGATTGGCAAAATTGCCTTCAGTAAAGCATGGACGCTGCCTGATTTTCACTCTGCTCTAATTTCAAAATTGGTCACTATTGTTTTCCAAGTACCACCTACTGGTTATGTTTTTCAGCCTTCAATTCAGCAAAAGAACAGTGATTTTATTTTAGAATCTTTGTGTAATTGCTGTATGACCTGCTAGAGTTACTTAAGGACAGGTTTTAGGAAATGCTGTCTTTTTTCTTTAGAGATTTTTTTGCACTTAAACATGACCTACCATGTTGATTTAATAAGACATTCAAAAGTGTATTAAAACAACCATTATGATTTTACCTTTCGACAGTCTAGAGTAGTGAGAAAAATGGATAATTGGGGAATGGTTATTGTGGTTTTCTGTACCTGTAACTTGCTGTCTAATTCTGTATTATAAAAAAAAAAATCAGTTGTCATTGTACAGTCTTCATTATCTTTCTTTAAAAAGAAGGTATAGTCTTTTCATGATTGTTTAGATATACATTTAAAACAGATTCACCTAATGTAAATAATCCTATTATTTATGCGTTAATGTTTTATACATTTTCTATAATTCTATGTATAGGTTATAATTATATATTTACATAGAAGGAGCAATATTTA